GAGTGAGACAGAGACAGAGAGACATAGTGAGACAGAGAGACATAGTGAGACAGAGAGACAGAGTGAGACAGAGAGACAGAGTGAGACAGAGAGTGAGACAGAGACAGAAAGTGAGACAGAGAGACAGAGAGAGTGAGACAGAGACAGATAGTGAGACAGGCGAGGACTAGATCCTGCAGAACCTGTCCTGTCTATCACTGGGGTACAAGAAGATAGGGACACTCCAGGGTCCAATAAAGACCTACAGAATGATAAAGATATCTTCAGGGACCTGTAGAGACCTGCAGAGTCCTTTAGAGTCCTGCAGGTCTCAGTTCAATGTGATTCAACTTGTTAGGACTTCAGAGTCCTGGATGGTTCAGAGTCTTCAGTCCATAGTCCAGTTTTTCAGACTCAGGACATAAAAATCTGAATTTTCTGAACTCAAACTTTAAAAGTTCAACTTAGCAGAACTCAGCAGAAACTGTTTGTGTTGGACCAGATCTAACCCCCTGTTCTGGTACTGGTCCTGGTCTTACCTGATGTACCCGACCTGCGGCCGGTGGCTGAGCTGCCAGCGGTACGAGGTTTTGTCCTTCCAGCCGATGTTTCGAGGATCCTTCCAGAGCAGCTTCACCTCTCCGGTTGTGTCTCCGGTGTGCCACAGTGCGTTCCTCAGGAACTCCCCAGGCCCGGTTCTGGACTTCACCGCCTGCAGAGCCAAACAAAGGGATGAGTGAGGTCCCTCCAGTGGTTCCTGTTTGTTTCCAGATCAGAACCTTGAGCTGCAGGGCGGGCTGGGCCGTGGCCCTGAAGGGGATGCTCTGCCAGTAGGCCTGCTCCGTCTGCTTCCACATCACCACGTAGAAGCTGGACGAGTCCTGGTAGCTGAACACGAAGCCCGCGTAGTCGTCGTCCGTCACCGTGTTGACGTGGAACGTCCCCTCGAAGTCCACGCCGTTAAACGCCGTGTAGCCTGCAGGTGCACGGGTCAGAGCGGGTCAGAACCACAGATCTGTTCTGAGATTTAACAAGAGTTAAAGACAGAAAAACATACCAACGGCCAAACCAGGATCACTGTTCATCGTCTGAACGATCTCCATCCCCTGAAAGCAAAAACTTTAGCTTTAATCTGAAGATGAGAATAACCAGAATTAATTTCCTGTAGAATACAGCTAAATGTTTAATGCTGAACGTTGCTGAAAGCTCCTGAATGCTGCTGAAAACTGCTGAAAGCTTCTGAAAAAACTGCTGAAATCTGCTGAAGAAACTGCTGAAATCTGCTGAAAAAATGCTGAAAGCTGCTGAAAAAATGCTGAAAGCTGCTGAAAAAACTGC